ATTATTATTATAGATTATATTAATATAGTACTATCAGCTGCTTTAAATATAAATAAATTTAAATTATTAAAATAATTTAAAACTTTATAAATATCATTTTATTTTATTATATTTATAATTATATTATTATAATTAAGAAAGAAAAAAGCCTGCTCTTTGATTATAAGGGATGATATCCGCGGGATATGCATACTTACAAGGGTGAAGCCAATCTCCTCCCGGGTGTACCTGAGTATATATATGGGATTCTAGGGGTCCGCAGCTAACTGCGGGTAATGTTAGTCTTTTGGCTCAGTGGCAACAACTCCCCTAGGTTGCGGTCTTACATTGATCTCTTATATAAAAGATTTTATAAGAAATTTAAAGCTTTTTAAAAATAGCTGATAAATAATGTTTTTTAAAAGTTATTTATTTAAGCTTCTTTTCCGCAGTGTTTTAATTTTATTTATTAAAAGATCAGATAATAAGCCTAGCTTTTGTATTAATTATTATATTTTTAATATTATTTCGGTTGAGAATTACTATCCGCTATTTGTTATTAAGAAAATTCTGAATAATCTAAAAGAAATATAATATTTTATTAAAATAAGTATTATCAGTATTTTTAATAATATTTATATTATTAAAAAATAAAACTATCTTATATATAGTATTCTATATATATTTTAATTTTCAGAAATTATTTATAATACTATTTAAACTATTTAAAGTCTCTGTTATTTTTTAATATTATATTAATAATATTTTATAAGACTATCTTCTTACTTTTTATATTATTTATTTAAATACTACTCTAATTTATAATTGAATTAAACAAATATTTAAAATATATTTAGATAACTCTTTAGAGATTCTATAAAACAGAAGTATTTATTAAACTTATTAAATATAAAATTATAATCTTAAAAATTAAATACTTAAATTTTATAATAAATCATAATAGATTTTATATAAATTCTTAAAAGAATTAGATTATTATTAATTAATCTATATTTATTTATATTATTAACATATAAATCTGTCTGGATTTTAGTAACTTTTATTATTATTTGATTTATATTTTTGAAGAATTATTATCTTATTTATATATTTAATAAAAAAAGATATTTTCTTTATTTAAGACCTTATCTATTAGAATATTTTTAATTATTTGTAAAGAATTTATATAAATATTTTTATAGTATAATTCTTGAACTAGATCTATAATATATTTCTAGAAATAAATATCTTAAATTATATATCTATTAAAATTTTATTTTAATATAATAAAAATAAACTATTATATCTTATTTTCTTTTTTTTAAAAAAATATCTTAATTAAGTATAAATATAAAGTTTACAATAAAAGTCTACTTATTATTATTTACTATTTTAAACAATAATATTTTAAACTCAAAAAAATCTTATTTCTAATTTAGAGTATTATAGATTATCAGAATCTAAGATATTTTATATTTATTAAATTTCTGAATTATTATTAAACTTAAGAATTAAAATATTTGATTTATTTTAATTTTTAAATTATATATTATATAGAATATTATAATACTAAATTTAATAGTTGAATTAAAAGAATTCAAGAATCTATTTAAGAATCATAATAAATAATTATTTTATTAACATTAGATTATATTAAAATAATAAAATCTAGATTCTGCTAGTTTTATAAAAAATAAATAAAAATAATTATAAAACTCTAAATTATTAATTATTCAGAACAATTCTAAGCAAGACATTTATAAAATAGTTCTAGTTTTAATAATCTAATTTTTATTATAAATTATCTTTAAAAATAAGCTAGATCTATAACTACTGTCTAAAGTCTAAAATACTCTATATAATCTATATATAAAAAAATAAGTATAGAATATTCTAAAAATATTAATAATTAATAAAAATTGATACTTAAATATTTTTTTAATTTTATATAAAAAGAAATTCATTATACTATAAAGATTATCTATAAATCTATAATTATAATAATTTAAAAGCTAATTTAATTTATTTAATTTATAATAATTTTATTTTAATATTCTAAAATATTCTATATTTATAAATTACTAGTTTAAGAATATTATTATATAAAATAATAAATAAAGAATAATTATTATATTTATTAAAAAATAATCTTTTCTTAAAAGATTAAATAAAATATTTTAAAATCTTTATTAGTTTTAGAATATATCTGATAAAATATATTTATAAATTTTATTATTTATTTATTGGACAATAAGAACTATATTATTATATTAATAATTATTAATTATCTAATAAAAATAAAGTATCTGATTTTCTATAATATTATAACTAATATTATAATTATAATTATTATATATGTTTAATATATATAAATACTGTATAGTTTATTTTGCTCTATTTCTTTTAATAAAAAATCTTAATCTATTATTAAATTCTGAAAGTATTTTATTTAATATTTGAATATAATAAATAAACTATTTATAATTTATTATTTAAGAATTAATAAATAAATAGAATAAATAAATGTTATATTATAATAACATATTTATATTTATATAAATTATTTATAAAATAATTAATACAGCTAATCTGTTTTGGCAGAATTAGTCTAAATATTATTTATTTAAATATTAGTAAAATTACTTTATTTCTTACTAATTACAGCTTTTATTTTTATATAAAATTTAAATTTATAATTATATTAAATTATTCAGCTATTAGAAATACAGAGTAATTGATTATTAAAATATAAATATTTATTAAATTTATATAAGTTAGAATAATTATAACTCAGGCTAGATATATAAAATAGATAAATAAAAAATATATTATTTTAATCTAAGATTTTAAAAAAAACAGAAAGTTTAACTAGATATTTAATTTATTAAAATTCTATAATTTAGTAAGAAACTTTATTAAAATATTCTTAAATTATTTTTAATTAAAACAATTATTAGATTATATATTTATTATCTGATTTTTTTATTAAATATAAAAGTTTATTTAATATTTAATATAAGTCTGCTTATTTTTATTAATAATAAATTATTATTAAATTAATATTAGTCTTCTTTGTATTATATTAAAATTAATATTCTAAAAAATAAAAAATTTAAAAATTATTAGATTTATTTTAAGATTATCAATATGAAGACTAATTCTAACTAATTTACTTTATTAAATAAATAAAATATTTTAATTCTATTATAAAATTTATAGAATATTTAAAATATTTTTTTTATTAAGAATCTTTATTATTATTATTTTAAAAAATCCTGATCTTCTTTTTGCAGAAGCTTAGATTTAAAAAAAAAATAGTATTATAATATAATTTTAAAATAATTCTGTAAAAGTCTTCTGCAGAATTTTCTAATAAGAATTTTATAATATTATTAAAACTAATTACTAAGTAAATAATTCTTTATTAAAATAAAATTTATTTATTATTAAAATCTTATTTATAATATTAAGTTATATTTGATTTATTATTTTATATTCAGTCTGAGTATTAGTTTATTTTTCAGATATTATATTAATACTTATTATCTATTTAAACTATTTTTCTGTCACTTCAGCCCGCCCGCATTCTGACGCTGGCTGAACTATCTTTCCACCACTCCAGCCCGCCCGCACCTTGATAATATTTTTAAGATAAAATTCTTTAATAATAAAAATATATAAAAATTATTCTTATATTTAAGAAGAATATAAAACTTAAAATTATTAGAAGTTTTAACTGATAATATTATATATTTATATTATAAATTATTATTAAATAAAAGACTATTAAGATCTTTTTTATTAGATTAATTATCTTTAGATTATATTTAATTAACATTTAATATATAGATAATATATCAGATATCTTAATAGAATAAATAACTTAGAATATTAATTCTAATATTTAATTATTCTTATAAATAATATATCTATAATATATATTATTAAATATATTGGCTTGCTGTAGTTAAATATAGATTCAGATATTTAAGAATAATTATATTAAAAGAACTCCATATAATTTATCTAACTATAAATATATAATTTATTAAAAGTACTGTAATGTTAATATATATATATATATATATTGAATATAAATTTCTTATTCCTTGAATTAATTAATAATTGATTAATTTATATAATTTTATTTTTTTATATTTATATTAAAATACAAACTAATAATAAATTTTTAACTGCTTATTAAATTAATATTAAGATAATAAATTTACTTATTTATATACTTTTGCTAAGAATATTAATTCTTTAAAATATAATTTATATTTATTAAATAAAATATAATATAAGACTTTATTATGAAATTATTCTATAAAATAATTTAAAAATATATAAATTTAATTCAATCAGATAGTTCAGCTATCTTGCGCTGATTATTAATTATTCTTTTAAAAGAGATAAGAAAATTAAGATTAATAAAATATTTTATATTAATTAATCTTTTTAAAATTAAGAGAATGTATTAATATTTTTTAATATATTATAAATCTTTTTAATTTTATTCTATATATCAGTAGTAATTCTTATTTTTAGGATATAAAAAGAATATTAGAATTAATAAGTTATATAAGTATATTTATTAAGAAAGTATTAATTTAAGTTTAGTTATTTAGATTTTTTACATAATTATTCTTAAGCTTTTTATTATATTATATATAGATATTAATTTTATTATAAATTTATATTAATATAACAGTAGCTTTAATAATATTATCTAAATTTATTAGATATTTATATATAGAAATAATTATAATAATATAATATTAAGATTCTTTAGGATATTATTTATTTTTAAGAATATTCTAATAATATTAACTCTTGATTCTTAGTATTTATATTAATAATTCTTTTTATTTAAAGAAGTAATAACTATAATATAGTTTAAAAAAATCTTAATTATTTTAAGATTAAATTTAATAAAATTCTTATTAAATATATTAAAAAGAGCTTTTAAGAACTAATAATTTGGAAGACATCAACCTAGGGGAGTTGTTGCCACTGAGCCAAAAGGCTAACATTACCCGCAGTTACCTGCGGACCCCTAGAATCCCATATATATACTCAGGTACACCCGGGAGGAGGCGGGCTCCACCCTTGTAAGTATGCATATCCCGCGGATATCATTCCTTACAACTCATCACCGCGATGGCGGACCGTAAGGGGGGCGCGGGGGGACGGAACCGCGGGGGCCAGGCCGCCCCGGGGGCCCCAGCCGGCAAGACGACGGGCTATACGCGAATTAGCTTCTTATACTCCGCGAAGGGGACAGACATCTACCGCGGGAGAAGGAGGAGGAGAGGCCGCGGCAGAAACAACAGCAGCATTAACAGCGGCGGCGGCAGCGGCAGGGGCGGCGGCAGCAGAGACGACGGCGGCGGCGGCAGTAGTGATAGTATTAGCAGCGGCGGCAGTAATAATCGCGGGAGCAGACTAATCCAGCTCTATATTAATTATAAGATATAAAATAAATCTCTCTAGGAAACTATTTACTGCGGATATTTGCAGGGAGAAGAGAAAAAAAAAATAAAAAAATAAAAAGAAAATAAAAATCTAATAATAATAATAATAATTTTTTTATAAAAAAAAAGCAGTAGATATACAGAATAAAAAGAAAAATATTAAAATAATTAATTATAATTCTTAAATTAGATTATATATATTTTAGATTTATAAAGTAATAAATATCTGCTGATTAATATAAAATTATAAAATATTATATTTTATAATCTAATATAAATATTTTATAATCTAATATAAATATTTTATAATCTAATATAAATATTTGATAATCTAATACAAATATTTTAGACCCGCGAGAGTAAAGCAGTTATACAAATATAAAAGAGCTGTAAGAATATAAAATAGCTATAAAAATAGAAAAATAGCTATAAGAGTATAAAACAGCTGCAAGAGTATAAAAATATTTATAAAAATATAAAAATATTTTTAAGAGTATAAAACAGCTACAAAAGTATAAATAATTATAAGAACTTTTTAAATAAGTACTTACTTATAATAATAATAATAATTAAAAGAGAGAGAATTATAGAGATTAAAAAAAATTAAAAAATAAAAGAAATTTAAAAAATAAAAAAAATAAAATTCTTAAAAAAATATTTTTTTAAAAGATTCTGAGTTCTAAGTCCTGAGCTCTGATTTATATCTAAATTAAAAATATTATATTATATTTATTATTTAATTATAATTTTAAAAATATTTATTATATTTATTATTTATAATATTTACTATTCAGTTATAATCACAGAAACTTAAAATATAATAAATAATAATATAATTATAATTATATAAAACAGCCGCGACAGATTTATATAAAATAAATATTATAAAAATAAATATTTTTTTTAATTAATTCTTTTATAAAAAAGATTTTATAATAAAGATTTTAATAATATCTAATTTCTTATAAATAATAATCTTAAGAATTAAGATTATAGAGAGAGAAATAATTATAAAAATAATAATTCTTATAATTTTTATAATATATTATATTATAAAAAATATTTATACTATAAAAACAGTCTTTTATAAAATAATTATATTAATATAATATATAATTTATAAAATTCTTATTAATATATCTATCTGTGAAAGAAGCTAGATAAAAAATTAATAATAATACTTTAAATAATATAGATATTATCTTAACTTTGTAATAGATATACTTTCTTAACACTACCTCAACATACACTCTTATATAATTACTTAAAAACTATATAATAAAATAAGGAAAATTAAAGAAATATTTATTAAGAAAGTATGAATATCTAATTATATTTTATATATTAAGAATATTAATTTTCTAATTATTATTTTAAATACTTTATAATTCTTCTTGTCTAGCTATAAATTATTAATATTAAATTAGATACTTAATTTTATTAGTATACTAATAGACTTATAATCTATTATTTTAAATTTATTAAAAGTCTGTCTAATATAGATTTTCTGATTTATCTTAACTAATCTATTTTTTTTAATAAATCTAACATTTGAAAACTTTTAAATTAAATTAGAATTAATTATTAAATAAAAATTTCTTTATTTCTGTTTAATATTATAAATTTCTGCTTCTTTATAATTAAAAATAAAAATATTATTAATATATAAAATAATAATTATTTCTTATATATTAATAAAAATATTAAAATTAATAATAATTAATTTAGATATAATATTCTTAAGAAAGTTAATTATTTTATAATTTTATAAATTAGCTAATTATTTAAATTTATATAAAGACTTTCTTAATTTAAGTACTATGTCTTTAATTACTTTATAATTAAATTCTTAAAGTTTTTATAATATTTTTATATAAGTAGACTTATCTAGCTCTAAATTAATAAAGATATTTAATATATCTAGAAGATAAATTTTATATCTTAACTTTATTAATATTATTATTATAATTCTGAGACTATTTAAATAAAATATTAAAATAAATATTTTCTTAAAAATAGTTTCTGATTATTTATTTTCTCTGATTATTAATTCTATTTTAAATTAATTAATTTTTTTATTAATATTAATCTTAATATTAAAACTTTGGGATTTAAAGAAGATAATGTCTTCTTTTTTTTTAAAAAAATTAAATTTTAAAACTAATTAATATAATAAGTTCTTTTTATATAGCTTTAATCTATTTAGATTTATAGATCTGATTATTAACTATTTTATTATATAATCTAAATATCTGACTTTATAAGAATCCTTTTAATTATTTTAAATTTATAATCTTCTTTCTAAAACCTAGAGATAAACCAAAAGAAATCTTGATATATTATATTAAATAATTATTTATATTTTTTCTTTCTATAGCAGAGTATTTAAACTCTTTTTTTTATTTTTTATCTGTGTCTTTAGACTATTGGTTTTTTTATAGATAATTATTATAGATATTTATTATATTTAAATTAAAATAATTTAATTTTTAATTATTCTTCTTTTTTAGAAAATTTATTCTTAAAAATCATAAAATTTCTTTTTATTTTTAATATTATTATTCAAAGGAGTAGAGCTATTTGTATTGATTATATTATTAATAATAGAATTATCTTTATTAGCTGCAGCAGCTAATTATTTTAAATATATAAAATTAATTAATTTAATTATTAATCTGATTTCTTTCTTTAATAAACTTATATATAAATCTATAATTATTAATTAAAAATTTATAACAAATTTTAAGTTTAAATCTATAAATTAGAGACTGCTCAGAGAAGTAAGATTATTTAATAAAATATAAAATAATAATTATTTTTTAAATAAATTATAAAATATCTGATTAATATCTAAACAATATTCTAACTCTTTTTTATAAAATTTAGAATTTATAATAAGTCTTATTATATTATTATTTTTTAATAGAATAATATATTATTTATTATTTTTTAATAGAATAATATATCATTTATTATTTTTTAATAGAATAATATATCATTTATTATTTTTTAATAGAATAATATATCATTTATTATTTTTTCTATATCTTAGAAATATTTCTTTAGATATATAGCTTTTTAGTTTATTTATATTTTTATAATAATATAATACTAAATATTTTTAAGTTTATAGATATTTAATATTAAATAAGTAACTAAATTAAAGTTTAAATAAAATTTTTAATTTTTTATAAAGTTTCTTTAAATTTTTTATAATAATTATATAATTTCTTAAATAGTTAGCTATATCTATAGCTTATTTATAATATATTTAACTAATCTTTAATTTAATTAATAGAATATATATAATTTTTAAAATAATTTAACTAAATTACTTAATAATATTATTTTAAGCCGATGTCTTTATTATAATATATATAAACTTAATTATTTTTAAATATCTTTAGTTTATCAAGATTTTATAATATATATTTATAAAAAATAGCTATAATTATTAATTAAAAACCAATAATATTTTTTTTTATTTTTTTATAATTCAGGCTCTAGGTATCTATATAAATATATTTAAAAGATCAAATAATATATAAAATAAAGATATAGCTCTATTTGTTAATTTATTTTATATAAATATAAACTTTATATTTATTCTTAAGCAGTTAATCTCTTTTTTTCAGCTATAAATTCTTTATATTTAAATAGATTATATATTTATTAAAATAATATTTTTTAAAATATTTAAAATATTAATATATCAAGCTCTGTTTTTTTATTTTAACTATATTTTTAAAAATTATTAAATATATATAATACTTAATCTTCTATAAATTAAGAACTAAGATTATTAAATATTTTACTATATTAAGATATATTATTTTCTTTAATTCTTTCTTTTTAATTATTTTATTATTCTTCAGAATCTGATAGTCTTGCTTAAACTCTTATAATTTGTATTTATTAATATAAAATATCTTTTAAGAAAAAAAATTATTTACTAGATCTAAAATATATACAATATTTTCTAATTCTATTATAAAATTATTCAGAAGCTTAAATTTAATTATTTTATAATTTATAATTAATAATTTATAAGTACTGGCTATTAAGAAAGTCTTTTTTTATATAAAATCGAAGAAAATAAACATTTCTTTTTATTTTATTATATAGTAAGTCGCTGTATTATTAAGATATTATTAATTAAATTAATTAAAATTATTAAACTCTATATTAATATTCTTTATTAATCTTGTTCTAATATTATAATTACTAGAAGAGATATTAATCTTCTTTATATAATAATATATTACTCTAGAGAATTAGATAGTTACTTTATAAATATTTTTATTATTATAATTTTAATCTAATTTTTTATCAAATGAATAATCAGTAAATTATCTCTTATATTTAATAAATTATTTTTTATTAAAATATTTTCTTTTTAGCTTTATCTTCAGAGTTCGGAAAATCTTGATTTTTTTTAAATAATAATTCTTTATTATATAACTCTTTTTTTTATAATAAAAATAGATTATATTTTCTTTCTTAAAATTAGATATTTCGAATTTTTTTTATTAATATTTTTTATTATATTATTATAATTATCTATATAATTTATAAGATAATCAGGGATTAGAAAAATATTTAAACTAAGTATTATATTTTTGAAGTTAATATATTTATTTAATAAGCTATTAAGATATTATATAATAAATAAATTATCAAGATTCAGTATTTGTTTTTATAAGTATTAATTAATTATTAATATAATTTCTTAACTTTAAGAAATATCTTCTTTTTAAAATAATTAAGATTCTTTCTTTAATTAACTAGCTTCAGTAGTTACTATAATTTTAAGATCTTAAAAAATCTTATATAAATTTTTTAAAAATATTATTATATTTTTTAAAAATATTATTATATTTTTTTAATATACTTAAATTTTTTAATAATTAAAATTATATTTTTATTAAGTTCTATCTAAATTATTATTCTAATCTTTATATTAATCTTTTTTTATTTAATATTTAATATAATAAGTTTATTCAGAATCTCTCTAGAGATCTTATTATAGAAGTTAATTATTTATTAAATAAATTATAATTATAATTATTATTCTATTAAATAAATTATAATTATAATTATTATTCTCTTAAATAAATTATAATTATAATTATTATTCTCTTAAATAAAATTAATATTAAGTATTTATCTTAGTTAATTTAATAATTTTAAGCTTTTTTATTTTAATATTAAAATCTCGAATTAATTTCCTTATTACTAGCTTCGGCTTTATAGCTAGAATATTTTAATAATTTAAGATTAATTATTAAGAATATACTAGCTAATAATATCTATAAAAATAAATTAAGAATTAGATATATAGATAAAAGAAATTAAATAATTTATATAAAATATTAAGCTGATACAGGCTTCTTAGAATATAGATTTTAAAATAATATAATAAATTAATAAAATCAGACTTATAATTAATAAAATAAATTCTTAGAAATATAAAAGCTTCTAGATACTTGACTTATATATAGTCTAAAATATAGATATAAAATATTAATAATAAATAGAATAAATATTTTTTAATATTATAATATTAATATTCTGAGTACTTATAAGTTTTTATCTAATAATTATTAATAGATTTTTTTTAAAAGTTTATTAGTTTATATATTTACTCAGTCAGAGAGAAAAACTATATTCTATTCTTAGTAAGCCGAAGATAAAATAATCTTCTATCTGTAAACCTAGTTGCATCATATCAATCTTAAAGTAAACTAATTATTTTATTTAAATATTAAAAGAAATTAATTTTATTAAAACTTTCTTCTTTACTATTATTACTATAATTCTTTTCAATTTAAAATTAATCTTGATTTATTTAATCCATTTAAAACTGTCTATATCTTTAAATATAAGATTTATAACTTAATAAAATATATAACTAATATATAAATATTAAAGAAGATATTTTAGAGATTATATAAATTATATTTTGAAAATAAAGATTATACTTTTTCTATTAATAAAGAGAATATAATATTAAGTTTATACTAGAAGATTTTATTTATATAAATATTTATAAACTAATCTTTATAATAGACTTTACTAATATTATTTATATTATTATTTTTATTAATTATATTATTTAATATTACTGGAATTATATAATAAAGAATTATATAAATATACTTAAAAAATTTATTTTATTATAAAATTATCTGTTAATCTAATTTTAAATATTAATTAAATATTTTTATATAAATAATATATCAGAGTATAGACTTTTAAAGAATTATTATAAATCTAAATATATAATTTAAGATTTTACTTTATATTATTAGTCTATTCTTAATAAAATAACTGAAATTAAAAATTATTATCTAATAAAATTAATTACTTTTATAATAATAAAGAATTCACTATTTAGATTTCTGTAAGATTATATTATATAATTAATTAAATATATTAATACTAGAATTATTTATAATATTATTAATATAATATTTTATAAGACTCTATATAATATTTTATTTAATATTCTTTATTAAAGAATTCTTAATTAATAATACTAATATCTTATATTAAAGAAGATCTATAATAAACTAGACTCTAAAATAAATAAAAATTAATTTATTATTTGTAGTAAGAATTTATATAAAATTTATAATTTAAAATTAAGAAAGATTATTATAATTAAAAATATTATTTTTTATAAAATATCTGTTTTTATATTACTAGTTTTAAATATTAAATATAAATTATATAAAATTTTAATTAATTCTCTAGCTAATAATGGAAATATTAAAAAGTACTAATATATTATATCTAAATTTCTGTTTCTATAAAATAATTAATCTAAATTTATTATTATTAATTCTTCTGTCTAGTTCTGGATTATAAGATTATAGATTAGATTTAATTAATTAATTACTAATAATCTTTTATAGCTTAAAAAATATAAAATAATTAATATATTATTTTTGATTATAACTTCAAATCTTTTATTAATATATATATATAGCTAATCTGGTTATAGATCTTATCTTAAAATCTTATATTAAATTATCTTTTATAATATTAATATTAGTAATAAAAAGGTATTAATTATTAATAATAATTAAGTTGATATATTATATATTTTATTATTTTATTATATAAAATAGTATAGTACTTAGATTAAGATTTTAAATTAATTTTTTAAATAATTTATAAAAATTAAGAAATTAAATTTAAAACTTCTGAGTATATATAATTATATATTATAATTTTATAAATAAATTTTAGTTTATATAAAAATATTAATTTTATTAATTCTCTGAAATAGCTATATATTATAAATACTTTATTTAATTTAAGAACTAATACTGCTGATATTAATATTTTAAATTAATTATTATTTAATAATATTATTTTATTTAATTTATCTAATAAAAATATATTCCATTTTTATAATTAGATACTATATCTTAGAAAAAGCTAATAAAATAATATAAAGTGGTTTATTATAAGATTAAATAGGGTTTCTATTTAGAAATATTTTATATTATTTATAAAAAAAGATATAGGATCTTTATTAATATACTAAATCTAATATATTAAATCTAATAATATTTAAAAAGCTTATTTTATAATTAAAAATTATAAATAATAATTAGATAAAAATTCTAAAATATATAAAGTTATATAGCTATTATAAAATTAATAAATCTAAGAATTCTTATTATATTAATTATAAACTTTCAATAATATCTATATAATATTAATATTATAATTCTTTTTTTAAATATTAAATTATATAAAATATCTTATATTTTACTCTTAGAGAACTTGAAGAATTTAAGCTATTATAAATTATTTCTTAAAATTATTTATAACTTATAATAGTTATTTAAAAAATAATATATATTATTTATAATCTTATTATAATAATTTATAATCTTATTATAATAATTTATAATCTTATTATAATAATTTATATATATATATTTATATAAATTATACTGTGTTTATATATAGTAATATTTATATTTATATTTATATTAATAATATCTTACCACTTTTATTTAATCCTAATTATAATAGAAAGATTAAAAATATAATTAATAAAATATTTAAATATACTAATAATAGCTATATAAAAATATTTTGTAATATAAATTTTATTTATTATATAAAAATTATTATAGCTTATAGAAATACTATATTCTTAATATTTTAAAATAATTTAATCTTAAGAATTATAAGTCTTCTCTGACTTTATATAAACTTAAGATTATTTTAATTATTAAAAATTCTAAAGATCTTACTATAGCTGATAAAATTAAAATATATTAAAAATAATTTAAATACTTAATTAAATTAATTATTAAATTATAGTCTAATATAGTCCATACAATAAATATAACTATTTATTATATTATTAATCTTTTCAAGATTTATTTTATTACTATTATTTAAATCTATTATTATTTATAGAACTTACTATATCTTATTTTCATTTCTTACTAATTCTGATTTTCTTATTAAATATAATATTAATTAAACAGATTCTTATATTAATAAATTAGTTTTAATAAATAATTATATTTTTATTCTTATTAGAAAATTTATTTTATAATATTTTAAGAAATAATCTATTATTATATTTCTTTTATTAAAACTAAGTATATTATCTAAATACTAGCTGTTTAAAAAATACTCTGACTTTAATTATTATTTAGTATATTTTATTTTTAATAAAGTAATATAATATAGATTATAATATCTTCTCTAGTTATTATTTAGATTAATAATTAGAATATTATTATATTATTATATAATTTAAAATATTATGTTTATATTAAATATATATAAACTAAATATTATTTTATTAAATAAATTATTACTACTGATAATATTAACTTTATTTATATTTTAATTAAAAAATAGATAATAAAAAGATTAAGTGAACTATTTCTATCTATAATATTTATTTATTTTATAAGAATACTAAGAATAAGAATTTATATATAAAAAGAATATTAGAAATAATTTTATTTTTTTATACTGCCTACAGAGATTCAAGTCAGAGAGATATTAGATTATATTATATAATATTATATTATTAATTATATAACTTAATATCCTGCCGGTATACAGCCGCCCCTAGCTAGTTAAATATATCAATCTTCGGCTCCCCTGTATTCTTTGTACAGAAAAGATAATACTAATTATACTATTTATAAATTATTATAAATTTTATATAATGATTGTATTAGTTTAATAAGATAGATATAGAAATAGTACAGAATCTAAGACTTTATTTAATAATATAAGTAATATATTTTATAATAACAAGAAAAAAAGAATCTTTAAGATATTATTAAATAATTCTATAGTAATATATCATAGATTTAACTTATATTTTATTAAGATTAATTCTGCTTTTTTTAAAATTTTTTAAAAAGCTAAGAAAAATATTAATATTATTTAATTATTTATATAGAATTCTCTTACTGCTATTATAAAAGTTATTAAAAAATAAGAAATTATGTTTATAATTATTTTTAATAAACCTGAGAACTTTGAAGCTAAAAGAAGTAAAATATAATAAGAATTAATAAGAATTATTATAATTGAGGATTTTTAAGTCTTATATAAAATCTACTTAATTTATAAAATAAGTTATACTATTATATAATATTTTATTTTTGAAAAGTCTGTTATTTTAAAACTAGAAAGAATATATAATCTATAACTAATAATGACAAGATAAAAAGAATAGTTTAAGGTTTTTTTAAAAAATACTTATATAATATAAATTACTCTGATTTTATATTATTTATAATAAATATTTTTAATATATATACTATCTATAATGTCTGAATCTAGTTAATAAAAAAAATAATTTTTCTTAGTACTTTAAGTATTATTAAAAATAAAATCTCTATTATTATAAAGAAATAGAAGATTATAATATTATTAAGAAATTATATTTAAAAAAATAAAAAATATTAATATTAATATATATTTTAAGCTAAAAAAGTAAAATCATATTATTTATTTATTTCAATAATAAAATAATTTCTATTATCTCCAATATTTAAACTTATTTAATAAATAAATTTAAATTTAAGATATTGAAATCTAAAATCTTATTATTATATATTAATTACTAGTAAGATCCTATATAGAAGGAATTATAAGATTTGTATAATATATAAATATTTTAGATTATGTTCTATCTTAAGTATAAAGAAGTATATATTATATTAAATAAATAGATTTATATAATATAAATTAAGAAAGAATAAATATATTATTTATATCAAAGCTTACCAGTAGTCTGCAATAATTATAATAAATAATGAAAAATTATAATACCATATATATATATATATATTATCTTTAATGTTATTATTAATATAAAATTTATAAAGATTATTACTAAGAATGTTAAATAAAAATAAATTGTTATTATGATAATTTATGTATATACTGCTTTTAAATAGTAGATTTAACTATAAAAAATAATTAGCTAATTTCAAAGAGAATAATAATATTTATTTTATTAAATATATATTATATAGTCTAAAATAAGTTCATTATCTCTAATATAAAATCTTTAGTAATAAATTATAAATATTAGACATCAAAAATATTATGAAAGAATATTATTTTTATTTTTAGAAATTAAATCTTATTTTTCTATTTATAAATAATTTGATTACTATTAATTATATAAAGTTTAATTTTAATTAAATATATAAATATCACGGTCAGAGTTTTAAGATAAAATATTTAAATACTTTAAATTATTTTTTTAATTATAGAATTAATAAAGATAATATTAAAAGATATTCTTATTATAATATAAAATATATATATTTATTATCTTTTCAAATATTATAATATATATAAAATATTATTAAAAGATTTATTTTATAAATCGTAATTATTAAGAATTTAGATCAGAAAATAAAAAGTATAATTATAATAATAATATTATTGTATTATTATAATAAATAAGATTAATTTATCTTATTTATATACAAAATTTAATATTATTTATTTTATTTTCTATCTGTAGTATTATAATAAAAATCTGATATTATACAATATAATAATAATGGAGAATATATTTTATTATCTAAAACATAATAAATATAATCTTATTTTAATTTAGAAATATATCAATTTTATAAAAATATAATCTAATATAGGTTGTTGGAATTATTTATTTTATGAATTTATAAAAGTATTTAATATTCCTTTTATAAAATTACTAATTAAGTATTGAAATAAAAAATAAAGAATTATTTTTAAGACATTGACTTTATTAAAGTTAACTATATATGAAAAGACTTTGAAAAAAAAATATAAATTAAATAACTAATAAACAAACAGTTATACAAAATAATAAAAAAAATAGATTAATTTAAAAAAAGGAGAATTAGATGTTATAATAAATAAATGAAGGTATAATTATATAACTCTGGACGAGCTAATTATTAATATTTTTTTTAATTAAAATTTCTGAAGTTTTAAAGACGTTTTAATTAAATAGTATATATAAAATATTAATGAAATAATCTTTTAAAAAAAACTATGTTTATCATATAATAACTAATATTTTATCTTCTTAAGATAAAGTATTCTTCTAAATATTTTTAAAATCTATTATTTCAAGAGACTTACTTAATTCACTGACTGTATTCCTTCTAAGAAACCTTCATAGAACTTAATTTATTTTTAATTTTAAATATTTGAAGCTTATTAATTTATTAAACAAAATTATAAAGATAATTCTTTATTTTTTAATACTAATACTTTTTATAACAGAAGTAGGAGAGTTTTAAATAAAAAAATAAATAATACTAATATTGCTTTTTAATTTTCTAAAAGATTTGAACAGAGAATAAAATAAGTTTAATAAAATACAAATTCTATAATAATTAAGATAAAGTCTGAACTTGATCTTTAGTTATTACTAGATTGTTTCTTAATAAGCTTTCAATAATAGTTTTATGTTTTATTAATAAACATAAATTAACATTATAATTAAAATTGTTTTTTAAAAAATTAATAAATTATAATTTTATAAAAATCTAAGAATTAGAATCTAAATTATTGTTATTATTATACTATATATTCAATTTATATAATTTAATTCAATATAATTAATAAATCCTGTAGTCTATAAAACTTCGAATTTTGAAAATATAATGATACTCTTTTTTATAATTAAGACAATATCTCTGAGTTATATATAGAGATATTTCTTTTATATATATAAATAATTCTCTAGATAAGGATATAAATATTTAATATTTAAATACGTATTAAAAGTCAAAAATAAATTTCAAATTAAATAAATCTACTTTTATATTAAAATTTTATATTTTTTGATAAAATATTCAAATCTAGTATTAATATTCTTAATTTTTGGAAAGTAAGTTCTAGATTATTAAATAGCCGCATTAATTATTATTAATTATATATAATAATTATTATAGATTATTAATTTTATGGACTAAATATCTATAATTGATGATATTAAAAAATTAATCTCCATAATAAATTGAATTATAATTAATAAATTATTTTAGACTTAATTAATGAGTATATTCTATATTTTCATTATATAAGATTCTTCATCTTAAGTTAATTAATTATCATAGTTACTTTTAACTTAGAAGTATTTATATAATTTGATTACATATATAATAATATCAGATCTAATATTATAGTCAGTATTACTAAAAGAATTCTGTATTTATTTAATTCAATAAAAAGATTATATTTTTTATAACTTCTTTAAATCATCATCTGAATGTTTATATTTTTTAAAATAATATTAAAATAATTTTATAAAGTATAATTCTTATAAACTAAGAGTTTGCTAAAAATACAAAAACTTATACTTGAATAATAATATATTATATTATATATTTTAGTCTATCTATTCTTATTATTAATAGAATAAAATTATATCTTATTAACTTTATATAATATTATTTCTATTAATTATAAAATAATCTCGTTTCAACTAATTATTATTATAAGATAAATAATAAAGATAAAAAACAAAATAAAAAACAAAATAAGATATTCTAATAATTACTATAAGTAATAATAATACTTCAGAGTTAGGCCAGGTATTTGTATTAAATAAGGTTTATTAAATATCTTAAATATAGATTATAATAATCTAGATATTAATATTATTAAAATCTTTGATAATATAAATATGAATATTAATCTTTTTATAAAATTATTTATTATTATTTATATTATCATTAAGAAGATAAATTGCTTTCATAATATTATAAACTAATTTAAAATATTTAAACAAAATCTAAATAATTAAATAATTAATTTAGGATTATTATCTTATATAATATTTTTAAAAAACGCTTTTTATTAATAATTATATATAGATTATACTGATTTATATAGCTATAAGCTTAATATTCTAAACTTAAAAATATAATAATATTATTCTTAGCTTTTTAATTTAAACTAATTATTTAATCTGGTTTAATTTCTTTTAAGACTTATTAATATTTAATATACTCTAATCTTGATTTATAATATTTTTTTTTATTAATTTATTAAAAAGAATCTTAAATAAAGTTTAAATTAGATTGCTTAATAATATTTATTAATATTATTAATAAATAGAAAAATTCTAGTTATACTTAGATTAATTATTATTGTTTTTTTATGTTTAATGATATAAATCCTGATTAATTCAATATTTTAAAACAGACTAATTATTTTATATAAACTTCCCAAAAACGTTTAATTTTATTAATCTTTGATTTTATTTTTATTATTATAATAATTCTTTTTTATTTATAATTAATTCTGATTTATCTGGTCTATTATTATATTCTTTATATCTTTAAATATAAGTCTTATAGCTTGGTAAAATATATAATCAATATACAAATATTAAAAAAAGTACTTTAGAAATTATATAGAATATATTTTAAAAATAAAAATTACATTTCGGTTATTAATAAAGAAATATAAAATATTAAGTTAAAATCTAAAATTGTTATTTATATAAATAAATAACTACAGATTAAGTTCTTAACAAAGCTTTTATGAATATTTTTTATTTATTATTTTTATTAATTATACTATTTAATACTGCTGGATCTTTATAATAAAGAATTATATAAATATAATTAAATAGTTAATTTTAGTTTAAAAAGTATTAATTAGCTCAATTTTAAATATTAAATAAATATTTTTATATAAATAATATATTAAAGCACAGTCTCTAAAAAGAAATTATAAATCTAATAATATTATTAAAAATCTTGTTCTATATTATTAATCTATTCTTAATTAAATAATAAAAATTATAAATTATTATCTAACTAAGTTACTTATCTTAATACTAATAAATAATTATTCTCTAAATTTCTATAAACTTATATTATATAGATAATTAAATAGATTAAAAATAGATTTATTTATAATAATATTAATATATTTTTTATAAGACTTTAAATAATATTTAATATAATATGTTTTGTTAAAGAATACTTAATTATTAATATTTATATCTTATTTTAGAGAAGATCTATAATAAACTAGATTTAAGAATAAATAAGAATAGATTTATTAATTATAATAAGAATTTATGTAAGATTTGTAACTTAAAATCAAAAAAGATTATTTTAATTAGAAATATAATTCTTTATAAGAAATGTGTCTTTATTTTATCATTTCTAAATATTAAATATAAATTAAATAATACTCCTATTAATTCTCTGATTATTAATTAAATCAGTAAAAATTATGATTATATTATATTCAAATCTTTGTATATATAAAATAATTAATTTAAATTTATTAATTCTTATAGATTTAATACTACTAATCTCTCAATTCTATTTTAAATTATATGATTATAGATTAAACTTTCTTAATTAATTATTAATAATTTCTTATTATAAAACAATTAGTATATTATTTTTAATTATAATCTTAATTCTTTTTATTGATATATATAAGTATAATTTAGTACTGGAATGTATATTAAAATTTTAATTTAAGCTATTCTTTTTGATAATAATATTACTAATTTAAGATTTACTAATTATTATTAATAATAAAATTAATTTATTAAATATTTTTCTATCTTATTATATAAAATAGCCTAGAGCTTAACTAGAAACTTTATTTTAATTATTTTAATATTTTATCTAAATTAAGAAATTATATTTAAATTTTTTTGAAATATATACAATTATATACTATAACCCTTTAACTAGATTTTAATTTATTTAGACATATTAATTTTATTAGTTCTCTTAAGTAGCCACATATTATGAATATTGTCTTTAATTCAATAATTAATATTATTAATATTAATATTTTAAATTATTATTTTATATAACTGCTTTATTAAAATTATTAATATATATATATATATATATTATTTTTAGAATCAAGTATTACATCTTATAAAAAAATAGTCAAATAATAAAAAATAGTTTATTATAAAGTTAAATACTATTTGCATTTAGAATTCTTCTGTATCATTGATCGAAAGCAGACAAGAAACCCTTCATTAATATATTAAATTTAGTAAATCAAGTTTGATAACATCTATAAAAATTATCTTACAATTAAGAATTATTAATAATAATTTAATAAAACTTTTAAAATATATAGAATCTATATAATAATTATACAGTTAATCAATCCAAAGATCTTTATTTCTCTAATTATAAAATTTAAATAATATTTATATAATATTATAACTACAATTATCTAAGCTGCTTTAGATTTAATGTCTTAAAAGAATTAAAAATTAAAATATTATAAATTACTTAAAACTATTTATAATTTATAATAATTAATCAGAAACTAATATATACTATTTTATAATATTTTCATTTTATAAAGGTTTATATATATATATTATATTATATTTATCTATAGTAATATATATAATCTTAATTATATTAATAATATCTTATTATTATTATTTAATCTTGATTTGATTATAAAGATTAAAAAAATATTTAATAAAATATTTAAATATATTAATAACAGCTATATAAATTAACCTTTTAATATAAAGTTTATTTAGTATACTAAAGATAGTATAATCTTATAAAAAGTATTATATTTTTAATATTTTAAAACAATTTAGTCTTAACTCTTAAGAATTACAAATCTTTTTTTAATTTTATATAATCTGAAGATTAATTTATTTATAATAAAGACTGAAGATCTTGCTATAATTAATAGAATTAAAATATATTAAAAATGACTTAAATATTTAATTTAATTAATTAATTAATCATATTCCAATATAATTTATATAATCGATTAGATTACTTGCTATATTATTACCCTTTTTAAGATGTATTTTATCATTATTATTATTTTAATTTATTATTACTTGAAGATATTATTCAATTGTATTATTTTCTTTAATTTTAATAACTCCAATAATTTTATTTATTATAATATTAATTAAATAGATCTTCATATTAATAAATTAGCTTTAAGAAATAATTATATTTTTATTCTTATTAGAGAATTTATTTTATAATATTTTAAAAATTAATTTATTATTATATTCCCTTTATAAAAATTAAATATAATATTCAGATACTTACTATTTACAAATTATTTTAATCTTAATCTTTATTTAATAAACTTTATATCTTTAGTAAGATAATAAAATAAAAATTATAATATTTTCTTAAATTATTATTTAAATTAATAATCAGACTTTCATTATATTATTATATAATTTAAAATATTACTCATTTCTTAAGAACTTTAAGAAATAAGATTATTATAAATTATTTCTTAAAATTATTGATAGCTTTAAGTAGTTATTTAAAAAATAATATTCATTATTTCATAATCTTTTTATCTTATAAGAAGTTATATATATATATATAGATTATATTATTTCTATTTATAATAATATTTATATTTTTATTTAGAATAATATTTATAATTTCATTAATATTATTAATATGTCGCTGTTATCATAAATTTAATTCAAAATAACAATACAATTCAGAAATTTAGTTATTTTTAAAATTAATTCTTTATAATAATTTTCTTTATATATAATTAACTTAATAGTATATTAAAATTAAGTAGTATTTTGAATATATCTATATAAGTTCTTTTTAATAATACTTTTATTATAATAAATAATAATGATAGAAAATTAATTAATTGTTGTATTTATATTTTTTTAAAATATTTCTTTACTCATTTATTTTATAATAATATTTTATTATCATTTAGACTATAGACATTCAATCCTTTCTAATTTGAATTAATAATTATATAATCTAAATTACTTTTACTGATAATGTCTTAATTATTACTATTAGTAGAACTATTAATATTATTGGAAAAAATTATTTTTGTAATAATTATAATAATCTTAGTAACTGCTCTAGTTATTATATTTAATAAAAATAACAAATGTTTTATAATTATTATACTTAGTTTTATTAAAGTATTTTACTGTATAATCTATAGTAGTTAGTTATAATATCATATAAAAAAGACTTTTTAAAGCTAAATAATAAAGTATAAAAAAATATGTTTTATATTTATTATAATTAAAATTAATATCACTTATACTAATTATATTATTGATATTATTATATAAATTAATTATTGAAAATATAAATATAAGACAATATAAAGAATATAAATATATTGATATTATTTTTTATAATTAATCTAGATTTTTAATATCTTTATTTTTTAATTATAAATAACAAGAGCTTGCAAATAATTCTGGTAATAAAAATTAATAGAAAATAATATAATAAATAGAATAATAACTAACTATAAAATATAAAAATATAAATACATTCAATATTAAAAAGTTAATAAAGACTCCAAGTTTCATATCTTTATTAAAAAAATAAATCACATATCTTTATTAAAAAAATAAATCACTAATTGATCTATATTATCTTAATATTATATTATATATTTAATCTTAATAACTACTTAAAGTAATATAATTATTATTTCTATTAAATAGTATAAGTAATAATTATTTAGAATGACTTATTTGAAAATACATAATCTTTTCTAATTAATATAATTAATTTAATTATGAAACAGTTTATGTATTTTAATAATAAAGTTAATAAATTACTATTATAAAAATAAAAATATATAATAAGATATCTAATATAAAGACGATTTTAGATTCTTTATGAATATTCAGATATTAAATATATATTTATTTTTTTAAAAGGTTTTATATATAAATAAGAAAGATATCTTTATATAAAATTAAAAGATATTTAATTAATTATAAAAAAAGATGTCATTATATTTTAAAAATGTAGAATTATATAAACTGTAATATTTATTATTATATTTTATTAAGTTTTATAAATCAAAGATATTTTATAATAATAAAAATAATTTAAATTCTTATTTCTGTATTTTAAAACATTATAACCTATTAGTTCTATTAAAATTACTTCTAAGCATTATATCAACTTATTTTTAATAATTAAGTATACAATTATTATTAAGACTTTATTAGTACAGAAATTATTATCAATTAGAGATTAAGTTTGGACTTTATTTTAATTATTATTAAGATTATATATTATTAAGATTATTCTATTCCTCTTTATAATTTTTTTAAAAAAATAAAAAGACTATTAATATAATTTAGTCTTTTATAAAAGCTCTTTTATTTTTATTACAAAAAATATGAAAAAGTAAAAAACTATTTTTATAATATTTTCTGATAAATCTGAGAATCTTAAAACTAAAAGATATAAAATATAATAAACATTAATAGGAATTATTATAATTTAAGATTTTTAAATATTATAAGATCTTATTATTTTATAAAATACATTATACTTTTGTATAATATTTATATAATATTTCTTTAAAGAGTCTGTTATTCTAAACTTAAAGAGAATATATAATTTATGATTAATAACAAAGAATAACAAGAAATAAATCGGAATTTTATTTAAAAATATTTATATAATATAAAATATTCATACTTTCTATTAGTTATTATAAATATTTGTAATATTTATATTATTAATAATATCCGAAGCTAGATAATAGATAGAAGAATTAACCTTTTTTAATATTTTTAATATTATTAAAAATAAAGCTTTTATTCGTATTATCAAAGATAAAGTCTTTATCATTATAAAAAAATAGAATATTATAATATTATTAATCAATTATATCAAAAAGATAAAATAAAAGATGAAAATATTAATATATATTTTAAATTCAAAACATAAGAGTATATTATCTATTTATTTAAATAATAAGATAATACTAATTATTTTCAATACTTCAATTTTTATAATAAAATATATCTGCTTCTAAGTATATAAACTTATAATTTTATTATTATATAATAATTACTGACAGAAGACTATCTAAAAACATTATAAGATTTATATAATATGTAGATATTTAAAAAGACTTTTAGTTTTAATTATAAAAAGATATATATTATATTAAAAAAATACATTCATATAATAAGAATTAATAAAAGTAAGAATATTAATTATCTTAAAGCCTGCTAAATAATCTGCAGTAATTATTCATAAAAAAGTAAATATTATAGTATTATATATATATCTATCATCTCTGGTATTAGTATTAAGATGAAATTTATTAAAATTATTATTATAATATATTTATATATTATTATTAATAACAGACTTATTTATATAAAATAATTAATCATATGTAAGAAGGGTAATAGTATTTATTTCATTAAATATATATTATATAGCTTAAAATAAACTAGTTATCTCTGAAATTATAAGAATAGTAATCTTTATAATACTTATAATATACTATATTATAAGAAATACTTATGCTACAGGAGTAGTCTCTTATAAGAATATTATATTAATAGATTATAATATATAATTCACAGAACTCTTGCAAATATATCTATTTAAGAAAGAAGTTAGATAAAAGACTAGTAATAATACTTTAAGTAATATAGATATTATCTTGACTTTATAATAGATATACTTTCTTTATACTACCTCAACACACACTTGTATAGAAATAAAGATTTAATAAAAGATTATAAATTTTAGATTTTAAAATATATATTAATAACTTTGTCTTTAGTTATGAATATTAAATTTTATTATTAATAATTATATAAAGATTAATATTAATTAGATATATAAGTATTTAACTCAAACTATTAAGATAAAATATCTAAGTATTTTAAGTAATAGAAATATTACTAAGTATATTATTATTATAATATAAGATATTTATATTCAGAATTTTTTAAAGTATTACAGTATAAAGAAGATATCATTAAAAGACTTTTTTATAAATCTTAGTTATTGCAAGTTCTGATGAAAGAATAAGAAATATAATAATAGTATTATAAATTCTATTGTTATAATAAATAAACTTAATTAGTTATATATATAAAAAATCTAATATTGTTTATTCCTCTTTTATTCATAGTATTATTGTAGAAATCAGATATTATATAATATAATAATAATTAAAAATACTTAATCTTACTTTAAAAATAATAAGTATACTTTTATTCTAATTTAGAAATATATTAGATTTATAAAAATATAATTTAATATAATTTATTAGAATTATTTAGATTATGAATTAATAATGATATTTTTTACTATTCTAAAAATTTACTAATTAATTATTTAAGTAAGAAAGAAGAAAATAATTTTAAATTATTACTCTTAATTAGATTAATTATATATAAATAAATTATCAAAAGAAATTATAAATTAAGTAACTGACTAACATACTTAGTATAATAATATTAAATTATATTTATATTTATATTGATTATCAGAATCTTATTGATATAATTTTGTTTTTAAAAAAATATTTTAATTATAATAGTTTATCTAGATTATATACTTAATAATTTATAAAGAAAGATTATAATGTTTTGTTAAAAGAATAATTAAATAGATTTCTAAACAGCCTTTAAGACAAAGCTAGATAATCTAAATAATTATGAATAAAAAATATAATTATAAATTCCTAAAGATGTATTCTTATAAAGATAAAGGTTTTTTAGATATTCTTAATATTAAAAAAAGATAAAAATAAAACTAGATTTTGAAATATAGAAATTAAATATTATATAATCTTTTTTGATTTATCTTTTTAAAGTATAAAAAAAATGTATAAGTAAATAGATTTTTTTATTAATAAATAAGATCTCATTATATTATTTATCAGACTAAGATTCAATATTAACTATTAAAATAAAAATAAATATTATTTATAAGATAACGAACTAATATTATTATAGATCAAGTTAAATTATCTGATAATTGGTATTATTATAAAAATATACAAAAACAATTTTATGATTCAAAAAGTTATAATACTCTAATCTACAAAAGTTAGTACTAATATTTAGCGAGATAATAAAATATTTTAAATATAAAAAATAGAATTATGAAGTCAGTAATTATTATTATTAAAAAAGGAAAAATGCTATAAAATACTTTACAATTGAAATTGATTATAAAAAGCTGATAGATATATTATTTATAATATATTTCATTTTAAAATTACAAAAAGGATTACTTACAGAACATAAAACTATCAAAAAGAATAAAAAAAGGAAAGAAATAACAGTGTTTAAGATATATTCTTCTATCTTTTCTTATATAATACTGTTTCTTATTTTAATATTTTTTTCTATATATTATCCAGATATTGATTAAGTATTTAGGATTCAAAGAATGTATATAGAACTCTTATAATAATATTTCTTTTTTATTTTATATCTATTTATTAAATTTATAAGTAGTCTTAAAAACTTTTATTTTATATATTAATCTTATTATATAAAGAATTTATCTTTTATATAAATAAACTTTTTTTATTTATCCAGACTCTCTTAAACTTAGCTTTTTAAATAATTTAATAACTTTATTTATTATTCTTAAGAAGTATATATATTCTTTTTTAAATCTAATAAACTTTTTTATTATTCTTAGTAAGTATATTTCTTTTTTTATTTTTGTAAGAATAGTAATTCTTATAATTCTTATAATATACTATATTGCGAGAAATACATATACTGCAAAGATAGTTTATTATAAATTAATTATACTAGTATAATATATAATCTATAGAATTCTTATAAATATAATTATCCGCAAGAGAAGCTAGATAAAAGACTAGTAATAATATTTTAAATAATATAGATATTATCTTAATTTTATAATAAATATATTTTTTTATATTATTTTATTATATATTTTTATAATTTTATTACTTAGAATTTATAAGATAATATATTAAAATTTTATTTATATAAAATATTAGATATTATATTTATAAGAAGTTTTTTAATTTTTTAAAGATTAACCACAAAGTTATTATAAAAAAAATAATTAAAATAAATATAATCTTATTTTTTTCTAAGAATTTTTATAAATAATTAAATATATTTTAATAAATTATAGAACTAGAGCAGAGACTTAAAATTTTTATAAATAATAAAAGAATTTATAAATCTCTAAATACTTCTAATATTTTATTTATAAAATTAAAAAGAACTAATATATATATTTTTTTATAAAATAATAAATATTATAATACTTATAATTATATTATGTTTTAATTATTTATTCTTTAATAAGAGTCTATTATAAAGACTAATAATTAAAATAAAAATTAATAAATATAAATTATAATAATCTATTTAAATTATATATTTAATAATTTATAAAGAAAAAATTATAAAGTTTTTTTAAGAGAATAATTCAATAAATCTTTATAAATTTTTAAGATATAGCTAGATAATCTAAGAAATTATAAATAAAAAATTTAATTATAATTTCTAAGAATAGTTTTCTATACAGAAAATATTTTATATATTGATAATATTAAAAAAGATAAAAGTAAAGCTAGATTATAAAATACAGAAATTAAATATTATATAATTATATTTATTTTGTAAATTATTTTTATAAAATATAAAATAAAGATTTTATAAATATTTAGATTTTTTTATTATTAAGCAGAACCTAATTATATTATTTTTAAACTAAATAAAATAATTTAATAGTCAGAATTATTATAAGAAATTTCTATAAAAAAATATCTTATAATTAAAAATATTAAAAATATTTATTTTATAAAATTCTATATAAACACCCGCAGAAATAATAAAATATGTTAATTATAAAAAATAAGATTATATAATAAAGAATTATTATTAATATAAAAATAAAAATTTTAAGAAATAATTTATAGTCTAAATAACCTATAAAAAACTAATAAATATATTTTTTATAATATATTTTATTTTAAGATTATAAAAGTAATTACTCGCGCAGAATAAGACTAATTTATTTAAAAAAATTAATATTTTTATTAATATAAATATAAAAATAAATCTAATATTTATAATATTAATTAAATTATAAAGTAATTCATAATATTTATAAAAATCTTTATATAATTACTAGATAATTATAATATCTAATTAAAAAAATTAGAATGTTTAAAATAAATCTTATAAATATAAAAAATAATTATAAGATTTATAAAAAATTATTATTATAATATTTAATATAAAAAAATTATATTAAATGTATTATAAATTTAAATAAACATTTTTATTATAGAGTTTAATTAGTATTATTTAAAATTTTATAAAAATAATAAATTAAAATATACTATATTATTATAATAGAGTTTCTTACAAAAAAGATTTAAAATTAAATAATTAAATTTATTTATAAAAAAATAAATCTAAAAATATTTTCAGAATAGCTTTATAAATTTAAAATAATATTTATAAAAAATAAGATAATAAATTATTTATTTTTATAATTAGATATTAATCTAAAGATTAATCTAAAAAAAGATTATAAATTAAAAATAAAATTAATTTATAAAATATTATCTCCAGAGCAGAAAGTATTTTAAAAATATTTATAAAAATATTTTATATATAAATAAATCTAATATTTAAAATTATTTATTAAAATATTAGTCTTTTTTATAAAAAATTAATAAAGATTTATATATATATTAAGTATTGTAAGCTAAATAAATAAATTATTAAAAAAAATATTTATTATTATAAATTAATAATTATATTAATTAGCTTATAGAAATATTATGAATTTATATAATTTAATTTTTATAAAATTTATTATAAAATAAGAATAATAATAGATTATAAATAAAAAATAATTTTTTAAATAAAATTTAATTTATTTAAATATTTAATTATATTATTTAGACTAATTAATATATTTACAGAGATTAAAGACTAGAAATGTTTTATTTATAAAATATTTAAATAATTTTATAATTATTTATTTTAATAATATTATAATATATTTATAAAATCTAGAAATATATGAAAAAGCAAGTTTATAAAATTTTTATAAATTTTAATTAAAATAGATTTATATATAACACTAAGTAATAATTCTAATAATCAGAAATAAATAATTTTATAAATAAATATTATTAAATTTATAAA